CCTTCCGATACTCCTTCTCGCTTACCTCACCTACACCGGCTCCATTGAAGCAAAACGCCAGCGTGAGCAAGAGCGTGTGCTCGAGGAGACGAATCGCGCGCTCGCTGACGCCGCGCTCGAGATGGAGGGCGAGCAGTGCACCTTCCTCTTTCTCGACGCAGACGTGATCCGCTCCGGACTGTGCGCCGAGGTTGGCTACAAGACGACGCTGCCGCGGCTGCAGGAGATCGAGGCGGCGCACCCAGAGTGGATCAAGCGGCGAGTGCTCAAGCGGCACCTCGCCTACGGCCGCCAGCACTACCGCGTCGAGGGGAGCGTCGAGGGGAGCGGAAAGGAGGAGAGCTGCTCGCAGCGACCGACTGTCCAACTCGTCGGTCCGACTAGGCCACGCCCGAGGAGGTGTCTAGGAACTGTCTAGGAAGTGTCTAGGAAGTGTCTAGACTCGTCGGTCCGACTAGGCCACGCCCGAGGAGGTCGCCGCGTCGGACATCGTCGTCTCTCTGCCGCGAGACCTCGTCAAGGCGGGCAATATCTCGGCTGTATCTCGGCTGTATCTCGGCTGTATCTCGGCTGTATCTCGGCTGTATCTCGGCTATGCCTCGGCTGTACCTCGGCTGTACCTCGGCTACACCTATGCTACATCTCGGCTAACTCTCGGCTATATCTCGGCTATATCTCCCACTGCCGCGAGACCTCGTCAAGGCGGGCAAGCTGGCCGCGGGCGGCGACGCCGGCGCCTGCCTGATTGAGCCGCGCCGCTGCTCCCGCCCCCTTTCCTTGTCGTTCTTAGTCCCCCACCTGATGCGCAGGGGTCTCCCTCAATGCCCCCCGGGTGTGTGTCGCACACCTCTCGTGTTTCTTTTAACCCCCCCCCCCCCCCTGTCATCAAACGAGGCGTCCGCCTGGCTGTGCCCGGCCTCTCACCCCCGCGCCCTTCCTGTGTAGCCTCAGCCCTCCCCTTCCGTTTCCTTAGGCGTCTCGCTGACTGTGCCTGGCCTGGTCAGCGGCCGCATCGACCTCGACGTGTCGTCGCCGCGTAAGGGCGAGGCGGACATCGCCGTCACCTCGAGTCTGGTCCGGGGCTATAGCCGAGATATAGGCGAGATGTAGCCGAGATGTAGCCGAGAGATAGCCGAGCTATACATAGCCGAGCTATAGCCGAGATCTGCCGAGATATAGCCGAGCTATACATAGCCGAGCTATAGCCGAGATCTGCCGAGATATAGCCGAGCTATACATAGCCGAGCTATAGCCGAGATATGCCGAGATATAGCCGAGCTATACATAGCCGAGATATAGCCGAGATATGCCGAGATATGTAGCATTCGCATTGAGCTTGGTCGAGAGATGGCCGAGAGGTGGCCAAGAGATGGCCGAGAGGCGGGCCGAGAGATGGCCGAGAGATGGCCGAGAGACAGCCGAGAGATGGCCGAGAGATGGCCGAGAGACAGCCGAGAGACAGCCGAGAGATGGCCGAGAGACAGCCGAGAGATGGCCGAGAGATGGCCGAGAGACAGCCGAGAGATGGCCGAGAGATGGTCGAGAGACAGCCGAGAGATGGCCGAGAGATGGCCGAGAGACAGCCGAGAGATGGCCGAGAGATGGTCGAGAGATGGCCGAGAGATGGCCGAGAGATGGCCGAGAGATGGCCGAGAGATGGCCGAGAGATGGCCGAGAGACAGCCGAGATGGCCGAGAGATGGTCGAGAGACAGTCGAGAGATGGCCGAGAGATGGCCGAGAGACAGCCGAGAGATGGCCGAGAGATGGCCGAGAGATGGCCGAGAGACAGCCGAGAGATGGCCGAGAGATGGCCGAGAGATGGCCGAGAGATGGCCGAGACATAGCCGCGAGGTAGCCGCGAGGCAGCCGAGAGGTAGCCAGGACGTAGCCGAGAGACAGCCGAGACGGGGCCGAGGCATGGCCGAGGCATGGCGGAGACAGATCGACCGGTGCCGGAGCCGGTCGAGAGGGGGCTGAGTGTGCACCCTTGACGGGACTAACAAACACGATGGGGTTTGGGACCTCTGGGAAACGATAA